AAAAAAAACTTTATGTGACGGTAGTATATTTGATCCCTGCAAATGGTTGAAAAACCATTGAAATGGAAAGGGGGCATGCAATATTGAAATCTGAGGAGGCCAGCAGCATATTGTTCAATATACTGAAATACAAAACGGCTTTCAATAATGTCATTAATCTATACCACTTTCCTCAGTGTAATTGTTGTACAGAATCTTGTGCGTTAATATCTCCTTAGATCAGGCATGTCCAAAGTCCGCTTTGGGGGCCTAATCCGGCCCCTGTGGCATCTCCTAGGGTAAAATCCTAAAGAATGCTCAACAACTTCAATCCTAAAAAAAGGTCAACAACTCAACAACTTTGGTCGGCCCTCACGCATATTCACTTAATGAAATCTGGCTCTCTTTGAAAAAAGTTTGGGCACCCCTGCCTTAGATGGAACCTGGAGTGAAGGAACTGTAGAACCCTGATGTTTCAGTCTTGACAGGGAAGCCAGTTGAGTCACCTTTAAATGCTAAAGCATGTTGAACAAAACCCAGGTAAAACTCAAGAGACTATCTTGAGGCATGAAAAGCCAAAGACATGCATTTCCAGAACGATTTTAAGAAAGGAAGTGAGTCTGCTTTGCAATAGTTTTTTGTAATTGTCATAGTCAACTAGCGTTCTGCTATTTTCTTATATGGGGTGTTGAGGAGGGGTAGTAATGATGAGTGGGGCACGCTGTGCTCCTTCTGGGGCAGTTTGTTCATCTTTGGTCCCCACCCTGCCCTCAGCTCTCACCTGTGGCTCCCATAAGCTGTCAGCATGCGACAGCCGCCACACCCCAGAAAAGGCTTCGACTGGCCGGCTAAGCCAGGTGAGGGTAGCCAATGGGTCTCAAACCCTTAGTGAGTTAGGGACTTCCACTGTATGCAAAGACAGGCTCCAGTGGATTGAGCAGACAAGACCAACAGTGGGTCAAATGACCAAGAAAGCGGTTCTGCACATGCTGTACAGGGAAGTGAGTGGCAGATGGGGCTCATCAACATGGGAAGGTAGCCCATCTAGGAGAAGGAAAACTCTGGTCCTAAACCTTCACTGCCTTGAGGAATGTCTTTGGGAAAAGAAAAGGCTGTAAACCCTACACAAATCCAGAGCAGAGTCCCTAAGGCAGCTGGATGAAGGAGACACAAAATTATACTTCCACGATTCTTCACTTCAGTCATTCTGAACATTCCATTCTGAAGCCCTGTGTTTTATGCAAAATCTTTCATCAGCTCAACTCTTCATCACTAACAGTGAAATATAATACATGTCTACTCAGAAGTTTCATTGAGTTTAATGGGGCTTACTCCCAGGTAGGTAGGCATAATATTTTATGCTGAAATGCTATTAACTCTAGGTTTACCCAGGCATTTGAAAGACACTGTTCCTAGCAACCATGAAATCACTGGCTAAGAGAATGTTTTCAACTTTTTAAAGCATGCTTTTAAACATGTTTTTATTATTGATGTTTTTGCTGTCCTGGACTCCTTTGGGAAGAAGGACAGGATGTAAATTGAATGAAAGAAAATATAAATAATAAATATACTCCCTTACCTGTGAGAAATCACCAATAAACTCGCTCACTTAAAATTACTGCCAAGTAAATTGCTTGGGACTGTGTTTCAAGTCTGAATGAGTAGTCAACAGCCTAGCCATTAAAAAAAAAACATTTTAGTGAAACATTGAGATGAGTTCAGGGGATCATGTTTCAGCGAAAATTGTTATATACATAACACTAGTCTTTCTTGGCCAACATCAGATTCAACCTGTTACCTGCAACTCTCCCTGGACTGAATCAAGACCTGGCCATGATCCAAGTCAAGTATTGCCAGAGTTCTGTTGAGGTTCATTTCCCCTTTGATCTAAAACCTCTGAAGACATTGACAAGATGCAATAATGCATTCAGCAAAATTATGTGCTTCAATGTTATCAGTGTTGTCTGGCCTCTAGGGAGAGGCATTCCTTGGAAGAACCAACTAGCAGAACCATTAAGATTGCCTTTATGGATACAATTGGAGTGGTGTGGGACTATTCAAAGAGGAATAGCTTCTTCACCACTCCAGTAATGTACCGGTATGCTTCAAGCACATGGTGATTATTGCTATTCTGAATCATCAATATTAACATTGTTAGCATTTAAAAAGTATTTATTAACATGGTTTCCAAAATGAATGTAATCAACAAGTACTGAACAATTTTCATCTTCAAACAGGGTAAGATTTAAAAAAAGCTGGTCCTTTTCAGCAAACAAACGTTAAACCCTTTTGGCAGCCAACTTGCTTCCCATTACTATTATGTGACAGTGTCTCACCTTATTTAATAATCTTGCACATCACAAATAGGCTTGACAGCCTCTCCAGAAGAAAGAAGAGAGGAGAAAAAGCTAACAACAAACGATTTTCAATTAAGCACAGCAGCACACAGCTAGCCCTGGTCAAAGCCTGTTTTACAAGGGCTCACAAATGTCGGTGTCTTCATCAGTTTCTATTGTATGAAGAGTAAAGGAAAAGGGATAAAAGGAAACTGAAGAGAACAATCCCAGGAGAGAAATAATGAGTGAAACATCCTTACTACCATACTGAAGGCCCTCAGAATGATGACAGAATATAAGACTAAGGATACAATAGTCATTCATGTGCTAAATGCAAGGTTATGTCAAAGACCATGAAATTCTATGCGATAATAGTCACTTCAATGGACTAAATATCACCCATTTAAGGAAGTACTTGACATACCTGGGTTCTGCACTTGAACTCTATGCATAGTTTATCTTAGAAGACACTTGATTCAGGAAAAAGAATTTTCCCCATACCATCTTCATCTCTGCACTATTATGAGACAGTAACATCTAAATAGTGAGGGTCAAAAGACTTTGCGTTAATTAGGAAAATGTCACATCTCAGAACCTATAGTGTCTAAAGGAGGAGGCAGAGAGTAGACGTGTGAAATGGTTACATTAAAATCAGTACTGCAGTCGTATCTCTGCCTTTGTCTGCAGCACTTCAAATCAAGTGCTATCCTGGACAAAGGAACACAATGAGAATACAAAGAAGAGACCGCGACCCCTGTGAAAGGATGACTGCAATGAGTGAGGCTGTGGGGCACTACGCAGGATAAAGCTATTTTAAACAATCTGGTGGTAGGGATTAATGCAAGCATATATTTTGGAACGAAGCACTAGAAAGCTGAATGAGATGTTTGTGAAGAAATATTGGTATGAAATACGTTGAACTGGGACATGTTTAAGTATGATAAGAGAAGGTCTTTGAGTGTTACCTGCCCCATCTGTATGCATGAATATAGGTATCAATATAGGTGAAAAATACAAAGAAAGCTGACCATTTTCAACCAGACCATACACTCTATTCTATGTAATCTTTCTTAAAGATGTGATAAATGAAAAGAGAGAGAGAGAGAGAGAGAGAAAGAATGAATACTTAAAGTGCTGGCTGAAAATGCCCTTTTCGTCTTACCATGAAGAAAGCACCAACCAATTCATGATTTGCATTATAGATGTGAAGTGGTGTCCTGTGTTAACAGGTTTCTCACAATGAGATAATGCAGTATCATTAGGCGGACTCCTTGCAAATTGCAATGATTGCTAATCATGCTGGTTAAAATGGTCTGACACAAGACCACAGGACTATTAACCCAGAATGTGAGTGGCAAAGTGCAGCAAAACCTATCCTTTCATAGGTAGGACAGTCTATAATACTATACATCACAGTTTGATTTGTGCATGATTAAGACTAAGTCATTTCATTCATTAGCAACCTAAGCACTGGCCTGACTAACAAGAATATGCATAAAGAGATTTGTTTTCTTGCAAGCTGCCAATTTCATGGGGTTATAATCAAGACTGAATGCCAATAAACAACACACAATACATAGATGGTGTTTGTTTTTATATATTTGTGTTGTTTTTATATCATATTTTTATTTTAATAGGGCAGGTGGCAGACAAAGTTGAAGCTTGCAAATACTTAAGGGCTGTCACAATATTCATGCAATTTAGTTTAAAGTAAATCCTTTCTGTGTTTACTTAGGCTTAAGTGCTACTGGATCTAGAATTTGCATTTTGTGAATGGAAGGCCATCCATGGAAGGCTTTCAATTCAGCAGGGGGGATCCCACATTGAAAAAGTATAGAAGGCTATGCCAGGGGCTGAAAGGGAAGGAGGGAAATTGTCAGAACGCCTCCCACTGTATCCATCCCATGGGGCTCTGGAGAGTTCCGAGTCCAATTCCAATTTGCTCCAGAGGGCAGCTGATGCCAGGAATCCAGTGCGCAACTCCATCCCCATTGTTCATAGACATAATACAATTTAGCCTGTAGAATGTTATCTTTGGACTGACTCAATGCCCATTCCGGATTCGTATTTAAAATATTGATTGAGCTATGGATACATAGCATAAGCTTTAACAAGCAATTTTGTTTTGGATCTGTGATATGTTCCTTGGGGATCATGAGGAAAACTGTAGTAATGATTCTGAATATTTCTTATAACTATTTTAAAATACGCTGCATTTAAGAATAAAACCACAATGTCAGGTCTGCTATTCAGAAAATACACCTGCTAGCACAGTTTTGTTGCTGCTGTTAAAGCGATAAGCCTCTGCAAGAACTAAGTGGTTCCAAGCCAGAAAGAGTTAACCTGATTTGCTTCTGATCCCTATCAGGACAAACATAATTTGCTTGTATTCCAAGGTGTAATCCTTAGTATAATACAGTTAGAAGCACATAATGCTAACAAGCTAACAAAGCTAACAAGCCCAAATTCATAAATGTCATTTATACCCAAACTGCCCTAAAAGAGCAATGTCTTCCTCCAAATCAATACACTCTGTTTTAGACCCAAACTATATGCGTACCTTGTAACTGAAACTATTAAGGCAGATCAGTAGGTTTTTACATTATAATTCATTGTGCTATAAAGCACAGGCACTAATGAAAATAATTGTGAAATGACTTTTAAATAGTATTTTTTTCATATTTTGCAGTGAAAGAAAAGACTAGACAGGACACAGTAAGACAACTGCTGTAGCAACTGTCCTACCTCCCTCTCATATAGGTATAACTTTATTGGGAGAACTGCACCAACTTAAGACTTCTATGAAAAGGGGCGCAGGTGGCGCTATGGGTTAAACCACAGAGCCTAGGACTTGCCGATCAGAAGGTCGGTGGTTCGAATCCCTGTGACGGGGTGAGCTCCCGTTGCTCGGTCCCAGCTCCTGCCAACCTAGGAGTTTGAAAGCACGTCAAAGTGCAAGTAGATGAATAGGAACCGCTCCGGCGGGAAGGTAAACGGCGTTTCCGTGCGCTGCTCTGGTTCGCCAGAAGCGGCTTAGTCATGCTGGCCACATGACCCGGAAGCTGTCTGCGGACAAACGCCGGCTCCCTCGGCCCATAGAGCGAGATGAGCACCGCAACCCCAGAGTCGGTCACGACTGGACCTAATGGTCAGGGGTCCCTTTACCTTTACCTTTAAGACTTCTATGAATATTTCTTTTTTGGTTATTGTTCTGTGCAGTTTCTATATACTAGTGACAATAAATACTGTCACTGATATAAATCCCAAATAGTCATCCCTACAGACTCTACTTGGGGGCGGGGTTCTTGGTACTTTTATCACCTTCGCAATTTTTTTTTTGGGGGGGGTGAGCATTCTCTAAGGCAGCCCTGAACTGTGTAATTCTCTCCCCACAGAGATGCGTCTGGCACCTTAATAGTGTAGCTTTTGTCATATGCTTAAGCCACATCTCTTTCCCCTAACATTTCATACCTGAAACATGTTTTTAGAACCCATTCCATTCTTTTGATTTAAAATGGTTTTGACTGATTTTAATGTTGCATTTCTACACAGCTGCAATTCTCTCTGGGACTTTACTGTGAAGGCCGGTAAGCAATCTAATAAATAATCACAATCATATTAATCAGTGCTATTTTTCTAGAAAAAAGAGGTGCCAGAACTCACCATGAACGCCTCCCTTGTTCTCTTATAACAGCAATGGAGCCCAATCAACTGAGTTCCGGCTGGGGGAAAAAACCCTGATATTAATTGTCACTCTGGAACTCCTGTCCTTGCAATTTCTGTATACACCAGTGTAGTTAATCTACAGACAAAATGGCTGCCACATAGACTATTAGCTCCTACCATCCACTGCCCATCTAAAGTAAAATGTCCATGGGCGTAACGAGACTCTCTTTGCTAAACAGCTGTAAAGAAAGGAGCAGATGCTGTACTTTCTACTGAGAAAAAGTCACAATGTATTTCTCCTTACACTAATTTGGTTCACTGTACAGGGTCATCATGCATACATGGTGTTTTGCCTTTACCAGTTTTATTAACTGTTATAACAAATCAACCAACAGGTATGGCTTATTCCTGAGGTTAGCCATGTGGCATCCATGGGTGCGGTGGCGTCCTTAAGAACTTCACCTGGAGTCCACAAAGCCCCTCAGCCTCTTCCCTTACTTACTGCCTGCTTCATCCCGAGGTGGCAAAGTGGTTGGACTTTCTCTTCTTGACAGCACCCAGATGTAAAAGAGGAAGCAGGAAGAGCAAGGCACCTCCCTACTTTCTCCGGCAGCTTTGTGTGCTTTTCAAGGTTCAGACTGCTACCTGAGCAGCTAAACAGGGCAGGAGTGAAAGGGAGCTTCGTGGAAGACTAGGGCAAGGAAAATAGTGTGGGCGGGGGTGGGAAAAAGTGGAGTCCCGCAGGAGTCAAAGACACACGCTTGTGCGAGAAAGAAAAGGGAGGCCAGAATAAATATACAAGCCAGATCTAGTAAAAACAGATTCCCTTGAAACTGTTAACGGTTTTCCATATGTTGCACCCCAAGTACCACCAACTCATAAAAATGCACATCATAGGTAGTAGTGGGTGGACATAGCAGACGACACAGAGATTTCTCTCTTTTTTAAAAAATGATATTTATTAAGGTTTCCAAAAAAGAGAAAAGTTACAGATATAAGAAAAAGAAAAATAGAAAAAAGAAAAAATGCTAAATACAGAAAAAATAAAAAAGACTTAAAAAAACAAATCATTCTTTCCATACCTTACTTTTCATTTACTTGTTTCCCTGACCTCCTCACGCCTCCCTTTTTTGTATTCCAGTTCAGTTAATTCAGCAATTCCTTTCCCCGACACAGAGATTTCTCCAAGTAGTTCTTTATAAGTAAGCTGGAACTGAACTGAACAGCACACAGCTCAGCCAGTCTGCTTTTATAGGCAACTGGCTGTCAACACTGTAACAACAACAGCCCAGGGTTTCACACCTAAATTAACTTACGTGGACCTGAGTGAAAACTATATACACAATCCCCCCTGGTGGCCAGGGTGAGAACTTCAATACACATCGTAGGGACAAATGAAAGCAACCCTGTGCAATCTACCAATGTAGTAGACTTTAATTTGACGGTGGTTCAAGAAGATTGGTTTTTAATTCTACGGATCCAGCTTTTACCCTGGGAAAATTATACAGATCCAGCTTTTACTCCATGGTAAAGCAGTGTGCGAGGCTGTACACACACTTTCTATCTGACTGATGGGGGGAGAGAAGGAACTGGGGATGGGGAGATGTCCATGGCACCCTCTCAATATTCCATCTCTGCTCATGAGCCCACAAAGCCCTTATCTCATCACTGGAAAACATCACTGTGGATCCCTGTCCGCCATTAAGTTGTTAAAGTAACTGAAACTTAATTATTTCAAAAGTCATAGGATCATTTTGAGATACCCCCACAGTAGATAATACTGCTTAATATTATACTATAAAATGTTATGATAGTCGGAGAAGGGGAGAGCGCTTCATAACATACTTGAGGAGATGAAATTAATTGCCTCCCATGAATTTTACATCTATTTCTCATTCCAAAACACCTCAACCACAGAGCTATATTAACATCTACACACAAGTTTGCCTTGCAGAGAGGAAACCCTCTCTTATCTGTCATATCATTCTTACGAAACTCTGCACAATTTGCAAGAAAAGTTGACTTACATGTCACTGTGGCTTTAAGACTGAATACAATACAGTGGTACCTCGCAAGACGAATGCCTCGCAAGACAAAAAACTCGCTAGACGAAAGGGTTTTTTGTTTTTTGAGCTGCTTCACAAGACGATTTTTGCTATGGGCTTGCTTCGCAAGACGGAAACGTCTTGCAAGTTTGTTTCCTTTTTCTTAACACCGTTAATACAGTTGCGACTTGACTTTGAGGAGCAACTCATAGAATGCGGTGTGGTAGCCTTTTTTGAGGTTTTTAAAGACTTTGGTGATTTTTGAAGCTTTCCCGAAAGACGACAAAACTCGCGGAACGAATTAATTTCGTCTTGCGAGGCACGACTGTAATGATTGAGCTGCTTTCTCTGCCCCCCCCCCACTTTATGAGAACCCTACAATCAATTCACTACTTCAAATGGAAGTGAGCCATATAAAGCAGTTTGTATTAATTATGAAAAAAAAAGTCTGGCAACTTTAAAATACATTGATGAGGATTTGTTTACGATCTGCAGAAATTGAGAACAAATTTATAGTTTCACAAATATTCATGCAGAGGTGGAAATAATCTTGGAATAATATGAATCTATCTGTTTAGAACAAATGTTTAAAACTATGTTAAATCTCTTTTGTATCTTATGTTGTATTACTATAAGTGGGGAAAATATTAATGCAAATAAATGAATTTAGCTATGTCTGAGTCATTGACTCAGTAACTTCAACAAAAAGATCCAAGTTAATTTTTCTAGGTTGATCATTAAGTCTGTATGAAAACCCCATATTCAGTTTATATTTTCCCCTTGAGATGGAGGGTTGCCACCTGGCTGGTGTATTTTAATGACACATTATTTAGTGCTATCTAGTGTTTTCATAGAGTTATCAGTGGTAACCAGAATCTAGAGAGATGCTTTATTAAAATGCATTTTCATCCTTCATCTCTACAGTGAAAACATAAAGACAGCCAGCCAATTTAATTATAAATCTTTTCTCCATCCACCCTCCTTGAAGCAATGGTAAATCATTAGGAGTAGAGAAGGCATTCATGTGAACCAATTAAAAACAGGCATTTCCTCTTAGCTACCTTTCATTGGTGAAGCAGAATGTTCCTCTCCATTTTCTTTCCTTGACATCAGGCGTAAGTGCAATATTTATGAAGGTCTTCAAATAAATTATATAGCGGGAAAATATTTCTATTGGGTAATGAAATCAGGCACAAAAAGTACCACTAAAGCGAATGCAGCATAATTTGCTGAATCAGCTTCAATATTCATTTTAACAGACCAATGAAAATACAGGCATATATATATAATGTAACAAAATTATCTGTCTGGAAGCTGGAAGGTTAGCATTTTTTGAAGATACAGGACAATAATAGACAATATTTTGGACAACACATTGCAAGATAAGATAAGCATAACTTTTCTATTTATATTTATGAAGGTTAAATAGCAATTTAGCAAACTACAGGTCTCTGTTTATCTATGTTTAAACACTTGGTAGGCTAAGCAGCAGAGTGGGCATCCTTAGAAAACATGCTGAATGCAGTGGAAAATGGAACTGAATTTCTTCTAAGAAGAGAGGGGAGGGCATCGCAATAATTTGTTATAACCTCTTGATTGATATATATTGTGAGCAACAACTAAGGCCTAAGGCCCTAAGCACTATCAATGTAATCTGGTGTTCCCAAAAAGTTGTACAGGTTTTCAGATCCCAGGTGCATTGTTGTTTTTCATCTCTCTTTCTCTCTGTGTTTATACACATACACACACACACACACACACACACACACAAAAATCATTTCCAAAAGCAAATAATGCAAATTGTAACACATTTGAATAGCTCCACTGCATATATTCAAAATCATGCTTATCACTTGTGAATGTAATCATATAAACTAGATGTTTAGCATATAAACTAGATGACTTAATAGTGCCCACTAGTATTAATTCAGATTTTAACCAATTAATTGTATAGCCAGAAATTGCAACATTATTAATCAATTTTATTAGTTCTGGTGTGGATGATTCAGAACTACTAATAAATTTGCAATGTGCAGCTATTTTAAATTCCATTTATTTGTGTAAAAAAAAACCATGAATCTCCCTCTTCTGCCTAACCGTGCCAATGGTTCCAAATATAAATCAAATATCAAAAGAGAAAGAGAAAGAAGAAAATCCTACCTCACATCTCACTTCAAACCAAAAATAATTCAATTTTAATTACCCATAATTGAGGACAAACGATTCTAATCCAATTAATAAATTTCTTTTAAAAAAACCCATCTTTCCCAAATAAAAAGAAACAAACTGACAATATATTTTGTCAAACATTTTTGTCAGTCTCAAAAGCAATAATTGCAGCAGTATGTTCTTTTGCCATTTGAACACAATCTTAAATTTTCTGCTCCCTGCCTTCAATGAATGAAGCCCACCTGATCCCTCAAAGAATTCTGGGCACTGTAGTTTACCCTCTACAGAGTTAGAATTCCCAGCAACCCTTAACAAATTGCATTTCCCATAATTACTATTTGAGGAAAAGCATGTGCTTTGAATGTGATTTAAAGTGTGCATATAGTGTACATAACTTGGGTTGCTATCACAGCCTGAAATCTATTAGCAAATATTGCTATTAATAACTTGGCATCTATAAATTTGCATGACTATATTGTCTTTTCCAGGCCTGGGGATAGCAGAAATGTGCATCCCCCCCCCCCCAAAAAAAAATATTTGTATACTTCCTGATTGTAAAATAAAACTTCAAACAAGTTTATTATGTCCCATCAGTTACACCTTGACCAATATACTTATGCTAGATTAAGTATGGGGTAAACTGGATTTCAAAATATGTTGATAAAAAATATAAGCAAAGAAGATATAGTAGAATTAGAACAAAAACAGGAATTATGGCAACAAAGAAGGTGAAATACCTCGGAGTGTGGATTACAGCTAAAAACATAAACTTATATAAAGATAATTATGAGGGTACTTGGAAGAGTATTAAGAAAGATCTGGAAATCTGGGAGAGACTGAAACGTTCTTTTTTGGGGAGGATATCAGTTATTAAAATGAATGTCTTGCCCAGAATGCTATTTTTGTTTCAAACTATTCCAGTAATTAAAGGGCTGAAACAGTGCAAAGAGTGGCAAAGGGCTTCGGCGAGATACATTTGGCAGGGAAGAAGACCGCGAATAAAAATGAAAATATTGGTAGATAAAAAAGAGAGAGGAGGTTTCTCATTACCAGATTTGAGTTTATATTATGAAGCGGCGTGTTTAATGTGGGTGAAAGATTGGATAAAACTGGAAAATACTGACATTTTGGATTTTAGAGGGTTTCGATAACAGGTACGGGTGGCACTCGTACCTGTGGTACGAGAAGGTGAAAGTTCATAGAGGCTTTCTAAATCATATTATTAGAGGACCAATATTCCAAGTTTGGGAAAGAAATAAAGATTTGCTGGAAAAGAAAACACCCTGGTGGATTTCACCAATAGAAGTGCTGACTGTCAAAAAAACTAATATGGAGGGGGGAAAAGCCACTTATGAAGAACTTACCAGGAAAACCGATCAGGGCATAAAACTTAAACCTTATGAAGAGGTAAAGAACTTATTTGCAGGGTGGCTGCAATACCACCAGGTAAACGACTTGCTAAAAGAAGACAAAAAGAAATTAGGATTTGAAGATAAAAAAATCTAAATTTAATGTGGAAGTTATAGAAGGTAAAAATAAAACTTTGTCTAGGATGTATGATCTCTTATTGGATTGGTACACAAAAGACCAAGAGGTGAAGGAGGCTATGACCAAATGGGCCATGGATATTGGTCACAATATTGATTTTGTATTGTGGCATGAATTGTGGAATGTTAATATGAAGTTCACGGCGTGTACGGCATTAAAGGAGAACCTTTGGAAAATGATTTATAGGTGGTATCTCACGCCAGTGAAGTTAGCTAAGATTTATAGACTGAAGAGTAAGAAATGCTGGAAATGAGGAGAGGTAGAAGGTGATTTCTACCATATGTGGTGGACATGCAGTAAGGTGAAAGGCTTTTGGGAACTGATTTACAATGAGCTTAAAATTTTTTTGAAATATACTTTTCCAAAAAGCCTGAAGCCTTCCTGCTAGGAATGACTGGCAAAGAAATTAAAAAAGAAGATAAAAATCTATTTCTATATGCCACAACGGCCGCAAGAACCATGTTAGCACAAAACTGGAAAATGGAGGTAATACCTACTATAAGTGACTGGCAAGTCAAGATGATAAATTATGCTGAGCTAGCTAAAATAACAGGAAGATTAAGGGATCAGAACGAACAGAAATTTCATGACAACTGGAATAAATATTTGACGTATATAAGAACTAATTGTAAAACTTTGACGACACTGGCGGGACTGGAATAATTCTAACAGCGAACTGCTAATAAGTAAAGGAGATAAAATATGTGATTCCAGAATTTATTTGATACTTACCAAAGGAGTGGAGGGAAGTCTAAGGCTCGGTGGAGCTTAAAACAACTATGTAATATATGTATGATTCATGGAATGGATATGACACATGTAATTTATGTATTATATTTTGTATTTGTTTATATGTATATATAATGATAAACCAATAAAAATTCATTTTGGAAAAAAAAAGAGAGAGGCAGTCCTGGGATTTATATATAAGATCGATTAAAATGACTGGATAGATAATTCTTGTCATTCTCCATTTTGTGGCTCAGGTACGACACCTGCTAGTGCTGAATGGCACTATCTTCAGCTACAGCATATTTTGGTGTCTCTTTTTAGACCACCAGCATTGAGTGCCTTGGTATTTTCCATATTACTGGAGGAAATGATTGGATTTTTGCAGAAACCTAAACCCACAAGGGCTGTCTATCAATGTTGGAATGCTGTAAGTCAGATATTCAGGACCTTAGGGAGAAGCAGAACGGGGAAGTAGAATGTTCCGTTCAGCTCAATAAATGAAAGGTTGCATCAATATGTAATCTTCCTTTAAATTTAAAATTGAGATTGATTCAGAAGAATTGATTCAGCAGAAATGGTGTTTTGGGCATGGTGGACTCCACAGTACAGTGGTACCCCGCAAGACGAACGCCTCGCAAGACGGAAAACCCGCTAGACGAAAGGGTTTTCCGTTTTGGAGGCGCTTCGCATAACGCAATTTCCTATGGGCTTGCCGCAAGACGACAGCCCATAGGAAATCTCAGGGACAGCGGGGAAGCGCAGCGCGTCTTCCCCACTGTCCTCGGACCTCCTCCGAAGCCTGGCGGCGGGGCGGGGACACCTCCTCCCGCCGCCGCCGGGCTCGGAAGGCTCCTCCGAAGCCGGGCGGGGGAGGGAACACCTGCCGCCGCCGCCCGGCTCGGGACGGTGCTCCGAGCCGGGCGGGGGGAGGGAACACCTGCCGCCGCCGCCCGGCCTGGAACGGTGCTCCGGCCGGGCGGGGGAGGGAACACCTGCCGCCGCCGCCCGGCCCGGAACGGTGCTCCGAGCCGGGCGGGGGAGGGAACACCTGCCGCCGCCGCCCGGCTCGGGACGGTGCTCCGAGCCGGGCGGGGGAGGGAGGCCTCCCCGCCGCCCGGCCCGGAACGGTGCTCCGAGCCGGGCGGTGGGGAGGGAAGACCTCCGCCGCCGCCCGGCCCGGAACGGTGCTCCGGGCCGGGCGGGGGAGGGAAGACCTCCGCCGCCGCCCGGCTCGGAACGGTGCTCCGGGCCGGGCGGTGGGGAGGAAGACCTCCCCGCCGCCCGGCCCGGACGGTGCTCCGAGCCGGGCGGGGAGGGAACACCTCCGCCGCCGCCCGGCTCGGAACGGTGCTCCGAGGCCGGGCGGGGGAGGGAGACCTCCCGCCGCCGCCCGGCCGGAACGGTGCTCCGAGCCGGGCGGGGGGAGGGAAGACCTTCTGAAGGCGGGCGGGGGCGAAGTCTTTGCTCCCCTGCCTGCCTGTCCCGGAGGGCTTTGAAGGCGGGGGAGCAAAGACTTTCGCCCCCGCCCGCCTTCAGAAGAGGTCCAGGACCTCTTCTGAAGGCTGGCGGGGGCAAAGTCTTTGTCCCCCTGCCTGCCTTCCCAGGGGCTTTAAATTGCCCCGGACAGCGGAGAAGTCCTCCGCTGTCCCGGGTGATTTTAAAATGCCGCCCGCCAGCATTTTAAGATCGCCCGGACAGCGGAGAAGTCCTCCGCTGTCCCGGGGTTTTAAAATGCTGGGGGTGGGAAGAAAAGCCCTTGCCCCCCAGCCTTCAGAAGAGGTCCGGGGACAGACTGTCCCCGGACCTGGTCTGAAGGCGGTTTCCCTAGGAACGCATTAATTGATTTTCAATGCATTCCTATGGGAAACCGTGCATCGCAAGACGAAAAACTCGCAAGACGAAGAGACTTGCGGAACGAATTAATTTCGTCTTGCGAGGCACCACTGTACCTTTATAGTAAGGAAGTGGCTAGCTCCAATACTCAAGTCAGTCTTTCAAGATGCTGGTGATGTAATGATGATTAAGCCTCTTTAAAGCATATGTGTGGGTGTCCTGGTCAGAAAGTACTAGGCATTTTAACTTTGTTTTAGAAAAATATGTGTGAATATTCATACACTTTTAAACTATATGTATGTTGTGTGAGGACTAACAGGTGGAGAATACTATAAGTGGATCCTGTCTGCTGCCAAATACAGCAGTTCTTTCCAAGGATATTAGGACAAAAGGAATGAGGAGGGGGAAGGGGAACCAAAACAGTTTTATTAACAAATAAACAGCAGGCATGCAAAGCATAACATAAAACATACCCAACAGGGGCTACCCAATCTCCCCTTCAGCTGCCTGGAGCCCCAGGTAGAGCAGCAGGAGAAAGACCCTAACCGTCCGTCTCCCAGCATCAGGTCCTTTGCTCTGGGCAGAAGCTCACCGGGGCCCCTCCCACCTATGGCTTTTCTAGCCTGCCTTGATGTAATCAAGTGCACCTGACATTACTCGAGCAGCTGAGAGTCTCCAACTACCTGCAGCCGGCATCCAGCCAGCACTTGCAACACAGAAGAACCCAATAAACTCCCATCAGGTGTGTGATACACAAGAATCAAACTTGGGGTGTTAAAGGGAAAGGGACAAGCCACCTAACTCCTTGAAATACAATTGTCTTCCACATTTCCACTACATCCTGTGAGCCCTTATGGTTTAAAAAGACTGGTATTTCAGTGATGGAAGGATAAACGTCCATCATCCATTGCCCTTTCTGTGTTTGAATTTTTATCTTGTAGTAATCAATCTCATTAGGATATATATATATATATATATATATATATATATATATATATATATATATGATGAATAGTTTTTATTGTTCATTTGAACGGCTGATGTTTCTTTTTGTTATATTTGCAATATTTTTTAATAAGTAAGTCAGTAAATCATCAGTTTTCATTGTTAATTATGATAAAGTTTGAATGCCTGGTAGCTTAAGCTAGATCTGAAAATGGCAAATGAGAGACAAATTAATCTATATTCTGTTGTCATATACACTTTTTCTGCTATGTTTGCTGCACTACTGAAAGTAATTAAGAACCCGGTGGAAACTATTTAACAATTATTAAAAAGAATAAACAGGGGACCATTAAGCCATGCATCAAGAAGGTAATAAGAGATTTTGTGGGATGGAGTCCAAGTAATCCAAGTATTTGCTATCAAGAGGAAAGAATTTTTTTTTGTTATTTTAATAATAACTTTAAAATAAATTTAAAATGTTCTCTGCATGCATTCTGTTCATTGGAACAAAATGTGCCAGAATGAACATT